GGGGGGGGTTGACAGCAAGTTGAGTTCTATACATCATTTGCCATTATAAATATATGTTTTGTATACAAAACTACTTCTACATCCCTAGAAAAACACAATAAGGTTTAGACTTACCATTACATGACGCCAAACACACAAACAATAAAATCAACAGCGGGTTGTAGTCCTCCATCTTCCTGTGTATTTTATAAAACTTCAGAGGATTGTGCAAAACAAGGAAGTATAAAGTTTTCATAACTGTCGTAACAGTTCAAAGTTCACAACCAGACTCGCAGATGATGTCATCACTAGTTTGACCTTGGCTATTCACCGCACACTTCAGTTATTGTATTAATAAGGATCACGTTTTGCAAAAAATACTTTTGAATATAACACTTCAGGATCCTTATAATACATAAATTTGCATCATGTGTAGTCTAGAGATAATTCATTTTAAGTTCAGACAGCATTAGAAGACTTCTTAAACTTAAAATGCAGTTTGTGTTCACGTTGTCAAATCAGGCGCGAGCGAGGACTTTGTTTTTCATAAGTGTACATGTGTTACTTGAAAGTTACAAGTGGGTGATACTTAATATGATGATCAGTACTTCCTGTGTTACAATAGCTGGAGCCCATACACAGGGAAAACAACTCTCGACATCCCATCTGGCGAATAGAGGGACTATTACTCACAAGGGCTCGAGTTCGGGATATTTTCGGTAAGTAAGAAATAGTTGTATTACAAAACGAAAGAACCCGAAACCGAGCCCCTGTGAATATTTGGTGATTATTTATATGGAGGACACTTCACCATCAATCTGGTTTCAAAAGAGGACAACGTCAGTCATCCAAGAGGAATTAAACGAAGAGGAATCGTTTCAGACAGTGACTTGTCTGCCTGGGAATCATGATTGTGACCTAGAGTTTGTACTTTTGCGCGCTTTGACGCAGCTTTTGTTATGACGCGGCTGTACGCCAGTCTGGCGATGTCATTTTTTAGGTCGTTGTGTTAAAAACATGATTTCGCTTGCATTACTTATAACAAGCACGTGTTTTCGATGTCAGTTTCCAACGTTAACATTAAGCTTGTTGACACTACTGTCAAATTATGTACAGATTTGGAAACTCATCGCATTCTGTGGAATGATATTCCTATTGCTGTGATTTGGTTATAATTGATAAAGAAGGAATTTTAAAAAAATGAGATTTAAGTGATTTTTGTCATTTTTTAACAGAATCTCACATTTGTTTTCATTTGATATTAAATTTATGCAACTCGTTAAGAATAAGGAAGGGGGAGGAGGGGGGGGGGGGGGGGGGGG